GGCTATTGTTCAGGACGAACAATACTAAAGAAGGGGCAGTGTTACGACAGCGGAAGTCACGTGACGTGCGTGAGTTTCTCGAATGATCAGGGAAGTCCGCGTGTGTTCGAGATGCCCTCTTCGTTAGTATAAAAGCCTGGCAGAGAAAGCCAGCGAAGACATAGATTGTGAATCGCTGTGATTTATAGCGTGTATTATAAAAGTTGTTAAGTTTAAAGTGACGAGAAACGTACTGGTCGTGGAACTTTTGTATACTAAAAGTTTGTATCGAGGAAGAATAAACTGGTTTAATCAAGAAAGGACTTGTATCGCTTAAGATCCCCGGAAAGAATTTCCACCGGAAACAAACAAACAAGCAGACACGTAAGAATAACATGACCAAAAACGAAACATTCTCTCAAAATACAGGATCTCTATAAAAAGATAGTTATAAAGAAAGTAAAAATCTTCGATGAATCAGAAAACGTCACCATTAGAAAATATGCATATGTTGGTATACCTACGGCTGAAACTCGTGGTGCAATTGTTTACTAACGTTACAAAATACTAATCAATTTGAGAGCAGAAGTTGGGAAGTTTCGAAGTGTAGCTTCTCACTGACTTTTAATGCCTTTCCGCATAAGGTATAATTTCTTTACATGAAATAATTATTGTTTTCACGAGCTCACTCACTGATTTGAAGTGGCCCTTCCGAAATTTCGACTGATAACTGACTATCTTCTGTGAAATATGTCATAATTCCCAATGATAAGGTGAGGATCGATGGATTGGATCGTAGTACGATACTAACAGTTTGTAATTGGTTTAAACATTTTATATTTCACGATCAAATGATGTTGAAGAATGGGAAAGATCTTTAATTTCATACAAAACATATTTCCTTCTTGAAATTTATTATCTGATGTTAGGCTTAACAGGCTTTCATCAACAAGACCGGAACATTCACTCCCTACATTTTGGGGGGGTACACATGCTTGTTCCAAAGTTTTAAAAATTATCCCGTTTTTTAACCCCCCCTATCTCAGGTCTTGTTGGGGGTCATACACCGAGTATGTAGTTATTTATTTTAAACAATATGTCTACATATTAATATTTTGAAAGTAACGATACATTTACTTCAAAGTTAATAACATTGTTGTAAACATATCTTATTTGTTGACATTTAACACAGTATTTGTAACATTGCAAATTTTATAATTGTTTGTTTGAAGTTAAGCACAATTGGCTACCAGGTTTCTAGCGTTATAAGTCCACAGACATACCGCTGTGCCACTGGGGGGTGATTTCATAATTAATAACAACGAAGTAAGAAGTATTAAATTCTTATATTTCTAGTAAAAAAAAGAGAGAATGTTAAAGTTTCAGTAAGTTTGTTCTTTACAATACGATGATCACATTGAATAATTAGTCTTGGGACGCTTCGTAGTTTTAAATAATATTGTTTATGCCAGATGTTTCTAGAGCTACTCCTGTGTTCTGGTGATAGTGAAACATTTCAACCAAACGTGATGATTCACCGCCCCCTTTTTATAGATTTCTATGGCATTTCACATCAAACTACCTCTATTGTGTTTTTGTTTTTCTGAGAAGTTTGGAACGCACGTGCGTCTACATGAGTGAGTGTCTCGGGACTTCTGGTGGTTCCAACCATTCCCGTTGTATAATATTTTGCTTGAATAAAAGATTCTGATACAATTCTTTAGAAACACGTTGAGTCCGGATTTTTGGGACACCCGGTACAGACGTCTGTGAACGTTGCGTCTGATTTTGCATACACCTGAGTAGACTTTTGTTGGCAAGTCACTTACAGTTCTGTTCAGTCAGCCATATTTTTTATTTAGTAGGGCGCGGGTTGACGAAGTGGTAGAGCTCTGGATTTCGGAGCTGGCGAACCTCAAAATATTCCCTGCAATATAAGCTGTGGGAGCGTTGAAAGAGTGACAGTCAGTCACTTAGCGTGGGTGGTAGTTTTGTTGGCTGCCTGCCTCCTCTCTAGTCAATAGTTCAAAAATAGTGATGGCGGCAGGTGGCATTAGTAGCGTTGCCATAAACACCAAGTAAAGTAAAGCTTTTACTTACAATAACAACCTCAAACCCCCATTTTTGGGTTAAACTAATACAGTTTAAACATTATTTTTATGTTTAGTTGAATACAGTTTTATGTCATATTTTTCGTTAAATATATAAATATATTAGTGTTAGGCTGCTTCAAGAAGGCGTGGTTTAAGAATTGTAATTCTGCAACGTGTTTTATTTGTTATTTTTATTGCACAATATAAAAAAACTAAAAAAGAATTGTCACGGTTGTGAATTTTTGAGGTCTTATGTGACAACTTTTATATTGCATGAGCTAATATGAAGAAACATAAACTTAACATTATACATTAGCTTACATAGAACACAGACCTTAAGAAGACGTGTATTTTAAACCATTGAGTCAAATCCCGATCCCGATGTTAAAATGATATAAAAGTTAAGTCTATTGTAAATAATAATTCAATGTAATTTGATTAAGTAAATGCGTACCCGCCAGACAACTGTTTTCACGGCAAGAATTGAACAGTTCTGCAGTGAAACGAGATTCCCAGGGCGTAAGAAAACACATTTTACTAAGCCTCAAATTAGTGCTTCAAGTAGTTTACAATAGCAGGACCAATACAATACACTGTTTTCTAGAATAAGTCGTCGTGACTATAAGAGGACGCCACTGATGATTTATAGCAGCAATATAAAGTAGGCTATTGTTGTATTATAATTCTCTCACTTCATTGTGAAGGCTAAACCGCAGAGACTATGGTTGCAAGCTGACGTAACTGACACGGCAACCTCGCGTGGAATGTATGATTCATAGGAACGGTCTGATGCTTGAATTAGTAGAAAGGCGCCATCTACCGTTAGTATGCGATGGTGCTCGTCGTTCTATCTCTAAGACTTCTATTAGAACTCCGTTAGCTTTCGCGAGAGCGCTACAGTGTGAATGGCTTTCCCCTCGGATGAATGTTTTAATATTCGTGTAAATTAAAATGAATTTGACGTTTAGAATAATTACAACGTGTTCCTGATGTGTGAACAATGTCACATTCCTTCTGTCGAATGCACTGTGATCGTGTGAATTAACCATGGAAATGCTGATGACGTTGGTGGTCGTTTTCAGCTATGCTGTTGGATCCCTTAAAACTTTACTGTTAGGCTTAAGTCCAAAACCATTTTCACTAGTATTATCGAATAAGCGGCCATTGTAGCTTTATTAATATCGTGATATTATTTTTCATCGTTATATATAACGCTGTTGTTCTACATATTGACATATTTGTTTACGTTATTTTAGTAAGAATTTTTTTTTTTTTACTTTGAAATTTATTGCTTTAGCGTGCAAGATAAATTTTAAATGTCAGACAAATCTGGCTCAGCGATAGTTCCACCACTACCAGATCTCAGTCACTTAACGGAGGAAGAACGCAACATTATTGAAAATGTTATGCTACGGCAGAAAGAGGAGGAGAAGAAGGACGTCGAAGTTCTTAAGTAAGTTTAATTATTAAGTCTGTTTACCTGGGCCACGAATGGCAACTTTGAATTAATAATTACTTACCACGACTCATGGAATGTTAAGTTTAACTTAGCTTCGTAAGGTCGTGGCTATAAAACTGGGGAATCAGTATGCAAGCGAATAGTAACTCCAAAATGTTTACGAGATAAAATTATTAAAGTTCATGGTAAATTTTGTGATTAATTTCGATTATATGTGTATATAAACTAATAAAATAAAAGTCAGTTATTAAAAACAATAATCAGTTTATGAAACACATGCGCTGAACACACTTTTTTTAGTGGTTGCAGTATATATATATTGTTGCGTCAGCGAGTCACATGACTACTGTGACGCCACGTTTCTAGAACTATCCTGTACTTTGGCGAATGCTCTAGTATTTACTAGATAGGGTAGGCTGGTATATATAAGAGGGGTACAACGTGACGCGGTAATGTAATGTGAGTGTAGACAGTGAGTAATTGAACTGCAGTCACAGGGTATTGTTGAAGTTAACGTTCGTTCGTTCGTGATACTGTTTGTTTTAGCGCGAATATTGAGATTAAGTGTATCGCAGAGT